GCCCCTTCTTATAGCTAACTGATGTTCATGCAGGCGAGATCTTAAACGCTTAGCTGTTTCACCCACATAATTGCCATCGCAGTTCTTGCAATTGATTTTGTAAACTACTGCTGATCTATCCATGGCAAGAAGTGGGTCCTTGGGGCGCATGACTTTGGACCATAATGTCTGATTGGGTCTGTGAGCCACTTCTATTCCATGGGGGGCCAGCAATCTGGCTGTTGCTTCCGAGACGTTATTAATATATGGTAAAGAGACACACATTTTTTGTAATGATGGTTCCTCTGATGAGATTATTTGGGCAATTAAACAATTGAAAGTTGGTAAGGCTCCAGGTACAGATGGATTAACAGCAATTTATTATAAAATGTTATCTGAAGAAATGATAGAACCATTAAAGGAACTTTTTAATAATATTCTGTTGGGAGCAGAGGTACTCCATTGTGGAGAAGGGCTTTCATATCATTGATTCCGAAGGAGGATCAAGATTTGACCCAGCCCCAAAATTATAGGCCTATATCTCTTTTGAATACAGATTATAAAATTTTCTCAAAAATATTGGCAAATAGATTAATGCGAGTTTTGAAGCAACTGGTTCATAGTGATCAATCTGGATTTATATCTGGAAGATATATGAAATATAATATTAGACAAATTGTTAATCTAATTGAGTATTTGGACAAGAACAATCAAATCCCTGCAGCTTTGATTTTTTTAGATGCTGAAAAAGCCTTTGATCAATTAAATTGGCAATTTTTACTCAGAGTAGTAGAGGAAATGAATTTTGGGGATAAATTTTTATTTGCCCTTAAGGCAATATATCAACAACAATCGGCACAAATTATAGTTAATGGGGGTTTAACAGAAGCATTTAAAATTGAAAAGGGTACAAGACAGGGATGTCCTTTATCCCCATTGTTATTTGTTTTAACCATGGAGATTTTACTTATTAAAATTCGGGAGTCACCTAGAATAAAGGGAATAAAAATAAATAAGAATGATTATAGGTTGAGAGCTTTTGCCTATGACTTGGCTGTGACATTATCTCAACCGACAGATTCAGTTAGGGATTTGGTTGAAATTTTACGTCAGTATGGGAAGGTTTCTGGGTTTAAGGTAAATAATAATAAGACTAAAATATTATCGAAAAATATGTCTATGAAGGAAAAGGATATTATAGTTAAATTAACAGGTTTTGAAATAGTGAGAAAGGTCAAATATTTAAGAATTTATTTAACGTCCTCTAATGTTAAATTGTATAAAAATAATTATGAGATATTGTGGGTAAAAGTGCAAAAGGATTTAAATGATTGGAAAAAATTACAATTATCTTTGTTGGGGAGAATTTCGGCAATTAAAATGAATATACTTCCAAAGTTTCTTTTTTTATTTCAGATGATACCTATTTTGAAAAAAGATGCCAATTTGGAAGAATGGCAGAAGGGGATTAATAAATTTATTTGGGCAGGGAAAAAGCCGAGAGTTAAATTTAAAATTATGCAGGATACACGGGAAAGAGGAGGATTAAAGGCACCGAATTTAAAATTGTATTATGATGCAGTGGCTTTAACCTTGATTAGTGATTGGCTCAACTTAACAAATAAGAATATCCTATCTCTTGAGGGATGGGATTTATTGTATGGATGGCACGCATATTTAATTTATGATAAAAAAGTGGATCAGATTTTTAAAACCCATATTTTGAGAAGTGCCTTGCTGCATGTCTGGAAAAAGTATTACTATAGGTTAAATTATAAAATCCCAATTTGGGGGGTTCCAGGACACGTGATAGAGGGAGTATCTAGGGGAGTAAATTTGGATAAGATTTCTTATAAGGAATTACTTAGTTTGGTTGGGCAGCATTGGCAATTAAAGCCTTTAACTGAGTTGAAGCAAGAAAATATTGTATATTCTTGGTTTCATTATAATCAATTGTTATTGAGGTGGAATATAGATAAAAAGGTTGGTATTATTTTAGAGGATGTGAACTTGGTAAAACAGATTAAAGATCAAAGTCAATTTCATATAAAAAGAATTTATAATGCTTTAATAGAATTGGACTCTGAAACGGAGTTAGTTAAAGATTGTATGATTAAATGGGCGCAAAATATCCAAGAGCCAATTTTATTGGATACATGGGAGACAATTTGGGTTAGAAATGTAAAATTTACTCAAGCACAAAATTTAAGAGAAAATTTTTATAAAATGTTTTATAGATGGCATTTGGATCCCCAAAAGTTGTCCCACATGTATCCGAAATTACAGCCCAAATGCTGGAGATGTGGAAATTTAGATGCAACTTATTTTCATATTTGGTGGACTTGCAAAGATATTAAAGCTTTTTGGATTAAGATTTGGTGGAATATTCAAAAGATTTTTAGGAAAAAGATAAAGCTTACTCCGCAATTATTTTTGTTGGGTATTATTGTAAATTTGGATTTTAAAGAAACTAATTTGATGTTGAACTTCATAACTGCTGCAAGATTATTGGTGGGGCAATATTGGAAGAAAAACTTATTGCCTATTTTGGAAGAATGGATATTTAAAGTGTCTAATTTAGCAGAAATGGCGAAAATCTCTGTCTATTTGAAGGATCATTCACAAGAAAGATATATTATGGTTTGGAGAAGATGGGTTGATTATATTCAGAAGAAGTATGAAACTGAAAAGTATTATCTTGCTTTTGAATTAGATTTTAGATAATTATTAATAGTATTAATGGTATTATGATTTTTGTCTTAATTTGTTAATATTTGTTTTGAGAAGGAGTTAAAGTGTATTATGGTTTTGATTGATAGTTTAGTTGGTTTATGTTAGCTAGAGTATGTTTGTTTATTTGTTACCCTGTAATCAGCTCTGGGAAGTGGGGGAGAGGGGGAGGTGATGGGTGGATTTATATTGTAATTTGTAAAACTTTTAATAATAATAATAAAAAACATGGCCACTAATTTGACTTTGTGAATGTTCATGTTATGTCTGAGGATGCCACTAAGGGAGGCTGGCTACTGAAAGAGGCATGGTATTCCAACAAAGACGCAGTCAATCGTCACATTGTTTTACACCCAGCGCAACAAGCATTGAGGAAATGGGATTTTAAACACCATGCCAATCATTATAAGCGGTCTGACTAACGCTTGTATGGCTGTAAATGTGACGGGATACTTGACCTCCACCCTGAACAGAAAGATGGAACTTTGGCTAACCCCCGACATACCAGGGGCACCCCCGTTTCGCCCGATCAACACCAATACCATTATAATGAACATCTGGGGAGGCCACCGCTGTTAAACACATGTAATCATTCACCGATGGAAGACCTACCCCTTCCCCAATATCACCATGATGGACCCCTACCCCTGGAACTCGATAACAACTGTGGAGAGTGTAGAAGATCCAGCATGAGGAGTTTACAGCCCGACGCTGTGGAGAACGTCGACGGAGATTGGGAAAAGAAAAAAAGGGGGGAGAAGAACGAAAAAATGGCACGATCGCCCAAGCACACGGTGAAAGGGAGGGAGACGGTGTTCTGCCTGGACCTTCCGCAGACAAGGAGTACCCCCACCAACGATCCAGCCCCCACTGGGACGAACACTTCAAAATCGGCCCAAAAATGAGCACAAGAGAGGAGAGTGAGAACGCGGGGATTCAGAATGTAGAGATCCGGAAACCTGGTGTCTGCCTGAATGCCGCTCCTAGTAGTAACGGGGAAGAGCGTGTGATAGGGAGGAGGGGGGATGATGGAGTGAGAGGTGGAGTAAGCACCCGATCACGCAGCAAACAAATGGAACGGTGGAAAACTGTCAACACGGAGAATGCCAGGACGGGGGAGGAGCGCATAGACGCCCAAACGTGTAACGCCCGTATGAAGGTTATTCATGATAGTGGAGGGGCGAGAAGAGAGGGTGTGGAGCAGGGATTGAGAAAAACAGGGGGGGTGGCGTCTGTGATCCCAGAGAGGGTTGTAATACTGACAGAGGAGAAATGGATGCCCCCAGGGTGGAAAATGAAAAGAAAAAAGAGATGAGGGTCAATACTATGGAAGGAAATAAGGATAAAGGGGTTTTGGAGGAGATGAATGTTAGTAATGGAGTGGTGGGAGGAATGATCCGGAAGAACGATAGAAGGAAGCGCAAGGAGAGTAATAAAGAAACATCTGGAACACAAATTAACCGGCCGGGACCGATGACGCGGTCCAGGAGCCGTGTGCAAATGTCAGCCAAACCCATTTAAGTCATCACTGTTTACTGGCTCCTTAGCCCTGATGATGTTTGGAGTTCCCAAACGAAAGCTTGGCAGCTTTTAGTAAAGTATATTTTTATATTTATATTTTCCTGGTGTTCGTATTTTATTCGTATTATATATATATATATATATATATATATATATATATATATATATATATATATATATATATACACACACACACACACACACACATATATATATACATACATACACACACACATACACACCATATATATATATATATATATATATATATATATATATATATATATGTTTTCTGAGGTTTTCGCGGGTATTTGTATATAGGTCTTTGGTTGTTCGGGTTTTCTCCCGCGTAAAATTGGAAGTGTCTTGGCAACGTTTCGACGAAGTCACATTCGTCATCTTCAGGCTGGTGTTTTTAGCTTCTTGCTTTGAGCAGCAAGAAGCTGCTCAAAGCAAGAAGCTGCTCAAAGCAAGAAGCTAAAAACACCAGCCTGAAGATGACGAATGTGACTTCGTCGAAACGTTGCCAAGACACTTCCAATTTTACGCGGGAGAAAACCCGAACAACCAAAGACCTATATATATATATATATATATATTAAATGATCACAAAGTATCACTACTAATATCAATATTACTAATGTCAACCTTAAGCATAATAAAAACCTTTCACTGTGAACCCAGTAAATTTGCTTAAAATTTCCATATGTACAGGAGGAGGCCTTAAATATCCTGGCAGTTTCCCTGTAACCAACTAGAAAAACTCATACCATTATAATCCATGTGATAAGTGCAGCAGTTCTGATATTTTTCAAGGAGCTTCCATTGATATCTGGCTGCATTTCAAGGTAGAACAGAAGACCCTCATTTATGATATTTGATGACCAGCTTTTATGAATGTAAAAGTTATGGATAAAAACAAGACAGAAAGCTTTATAATTATTTGTTATTTTCAAAGCAAAATTAAAACAACTTTCTATCAACATTACTTGTTTTCCTTTCAGGTATAATAAATATTAGTATGAGTACACATAATTATTTTGTTAGAATTCCTTCAAAGAGAAAGAAGCACATACAAATTATTAAATAATGTGTTTTAATTAGAGTACTATTATAACTTTAGTTATAAAATGGATTTTTTATTTTTTAGTATTCATATCAAGCTGTATAGACCTTAGTCTAGTATTATAGCTTGATATGAATATTTAGTATTCATATCAAGCTATATAGACCTATATACCACTTTATAGTACTCTCTAAGCAGTTTACAGAGTCAGCATATTGCTCCCAACAATCTGGTTCCTCCTTTTACCGACCTCAGAAAGATGGAAAGCTGAGTCAACCTTGAGCCAGTGAGAATCAAACTCCTGGCAGTGAGCTGAATGCAATACTGCATTCTCCAGCAGGATGACTGTAGAGTCCAAATGGATGGGTTCTATGACGGCCTTCCTGCCTGGCAGACTGGGTAAAACTTCGGCCACACCCCTTCCTTTGGGCGTGACCCCAGTTTTGACTCAGTCTCGAAGCCTGGTACAAGTGCGAGAGGCAGCTCTCAGAACCAAACGAATTTAAACTCAAAAAAAAAAAAAAAAAAAAGAAAGAAAAAAGGAATCCCCTCTTCTTCCCTTTGCAAGAGAAACTTCCTGGCAGCGATTAGAACTGAGAGAGGCAGCCAGGATCGGCGGACTCGTGAGTGGGGCTAGCTGGGGAGGCTCGGAACGGGCCGGATCGCTCACCCTTTCTTCCGGCCCGCCGAGCAGCTGTTGGGCGCGGGGGATCTCACCGGGTTGCGCGCAGCCCTCCGGGCCCTCCCAACAGCTGAGCAGCCTGGCCGAGGGAGCTGAGCACCCCTCGGCGCGGAACAGCTGAGCCGCGCGGGAAGTGGCAAACCAGGTCGCCGCTCGGCTGCGATCAGCTGAGCGGCGCGATAGGCAACGCGGCAAGAGCAAAGCCGGCGCTGAATTTCCCTCTATCCAGAGGAAAGGCGCAGCCCCCTCATGACTAGAGGAGTCTTCCTGATTGCAAAAATCAGGATCCGCCATTGTTTTTGAACCTCGTGGATTCCCGGGCTTCCATTGGGAGGCGTGGCTTCTTCCCCATTCGCCATTTTGGAAATTGATCTTCCCGCCGTTTCCCCTTGGGGGGCGGGGCCATCACCCGGACTCCATTTTCCGGCAAACAAAGGGTTTTGTTCCCTTGCAAGGATCTGAGGTTGCCCAGGGAAATTGAGACAGAGGAAGGAAGAGGGAAAGCAAAAGAATCGTTTTCCTATCATGGTCTGTTGCCACAGCCAAAGACTGGGGGAGAGAGAGAGAGATATAATTGTCTGGACTAGGTGAGGAGGTGAGGAGGAATATTCTTCCCTAACTGTTCCTATAGTGGCCTTTAGTCACTGCCTGGCAGGATCTTCTGTCCAAAGAATCCTGTCTGTCCGGCCATTGTTTGTATAGGCAGAGGAGGGCACAGTCCCAAGCATCTGCCTCTGATCTGCGTACCTTATTCCCCCATCCCAGGCATTTCCTACTCGGGGTGTCTGGCACAATGGCAGACAATGTCTCGTATTCAGTCACACAGGTCCCTCAATTGTCCCCCCCACAGCAGCAGCGAAAACGCAGATCCTCTGAATCAGAGGTGGGGGGGAAGAAGAAAGCTAAAACAAAGCACCTTACTCAGAAGGGACAGTCTAAAACGGCTGAGCGAGAGGCTTTGAGGAGACATTTGGCTTTAGAAAGACAAATTAGCAGGGCACAGAGAACCAATGCCAATGGGACAAATTTGGTTTCCCCTGTCCCAGTGGCGGCACCCAGCACAGAACCTACTGCCGAGGAAGTGCTCAAAACTTGGTCTCCTCCTGGGGAAACTGAACAGTTAGATTCCTCCAATCCCTCCTCACCAGCTTCTTCTCCCTCACCCGACCACACTCCAGCGCCTCACCCCAGCGACAAAGCGCAGGAGAACATATGGTCGGCACAATTTCAGGCATTCATGCAGGATGCATTCTCCCAATTCATAGCTTCCAAAGGGCAAGTGGCCTTTCACACACCCCGTAAGGGACGAGCTAGGCCACCCCCTACCAACATCTCTGAATCTTCCTCTCAACTAGGAGAGGGTGACTCAGTAGATCTTGACATGTCAGACATGCCCCTATCGGAGGACGAGGAAACCGCACCTGAGCAGGAGACGAGCTCTGGCCTCTTTAACCCAGCGCTCCTAAAATCACTCCTGATAAAGGCAGTTTCCACAGTCAGCCTAACATCAGTACAGGATGAGAGGCCATCGACAAGCAAGGAGGCCAACCCTCTATTTGCCAAAAAGGTCCCACAGGACAAGTACATTCCATGTGCGGAGGTCTTCATGACCACGCTGGAGGAACAATGGTCCTCACTTGCAAGCCCACCGGCACCTAACAGCGCGGAGAGGAAGCTTTTCAACCTATCTCCCTCCTTCTCTAACATGTTAGAGGTTCCCACTGTAGATAACCCCTTGATCTCATTATTCTCTACCTCCGCGATTCCAGGAGACATGGCGGAGGTCTTGAAACCTGAGGAGAAGAAATTTGAACACTCCTTCCGGCGTTCCCACATGGCTGCAGCCTGGGCGGCCAGAGCAGCCACCTCATCATCATTCTTCGCGAGGGCCTGCATCATGTGGCTGAGGGAACTGCAGGGCACGGTGCCTCCAGACCAGGTCAGAGTACACCAGACATTGGCCAAACTCCTCGCGGCCTCTCAGTTCATGTCTGACGCTTCACTGTACGCAACAAAGTATGCGGCAAGATCCATTGCGGCCACAGTGGCCTCGCGTAGGCTACTGTGGCTCAAAAACTGGAAGACAGACCTGAGGTCCAAATGGCGTCTCTCGACGTCCAAATACAGTGGAGAGGCCCTATTTGGTTCCATTCTGGATCCACATGTCAGCGAAGGCAGAGACAAGAAAAAAATCCTAGTACATCCATCAAAGAAGTTAGACAGGAGAGGCAGTCAGGACTTCCGGAGGCAGGGCTCCCGCCCAGGAAGCCCCTGGGAATGGAGGCAGCCCTTTCGATCAGGGCAATCCTGGGACTGGCCCAGAGGCTCACGATCCTTCTACCCGAGATAGGATCGAACCCAGGATCGCCAAAGCCCGGGAGCCAGGGGCCAGTTCCAGTCCAGACGCCCATATAGAGGAGCGGGAGGCAGATCCTTTAAGCGTACCAAGTGACGCCAAACAGGATACACCCATCGGGGGTCGGTTAGGAAATTTCACCGAGGTCTGGGAACAGACCACTACCGACGCCTGGGTCCTGGAAACGATCAGGCATGGCCTGACCTTAGACTTCTGTTCTCCCCCTCCAAACCGGTTCATCAGATGTCCCATCTCCAGAAGAGTACACAAGACAAGGCTGATAACTTCGGCCATAGCTCACCTCCTGTCAATTCAAGCCATAGAGAAGGTACCAAAGGAAGAGGAAGGAAGAGGATTTTACTCTATCCTCTTCGTTATCCCAAAGACATCAGGAGGGTGGAGAGCAATCTTGGACCTGAAGGGCCTGAACTATTTCATAAAGTACAGGAGGTTCAAGATGCACTCCCTAAAGTCCATACTAGCCAGCGTCAGGGAAGACGATCTACTATCCTCAATAGACCTCACAGAGGCGTACCTACACATCCCCATCCACCCCAGCTACCGGAAATTCCTCAGATTTACCTACGCGGGGCGACATTACCAATACAGGGCATTACCCTTCGGACTGTCGTCAGCACCAAGGGTATTCACAAAGATCTTAGCTGTACTAGCGGCCCATCTCAGGTTGATCCCGGTTCGCGTCCAGTTTTATCTGGACGACATCTTGATCCAGTCCAGATCTCGGGAACAAGCAAGGGCAGATCTCAAGACCACAATCCGAACCCTACAGGGGCACGGATTCTCGGTCAATCTAAACAAGAGCCACCTCATTCCCTCAAGGAGACTGCAACACCTGGGCGCGGTGATAGACACGTCACAGTGCAGGGTATTCCTTTCCCAGGAGCGACTGATCAGCATGTCCAAGCTAATCCACCAAATTCTAAGGATCAGGAGAGTGCCCTTGCTACAACTCTCGAAGCTCCTGGGGAAGATGATATCTTGCATGGGCATCATCCCATGGGCAAGGCTACACTCGAGGGAGTTGCAGTGGTTCCTCCTACCCTACCAGAGGAGGAACCTCAGCACCTCCAACAGGAGTGTGCTGGTACCAGCACAGGTGATGAAATCACTAAAGTGGTGGCTATCCCCCACGACACTCAAGGGGAGCATATTCAGGGAACCGAACAGGGTCACGCTCACGACAGACGCGAGCCTGTTCGGATGGGGAGCCCACCTGGGAACACAGATAGCACAGGGCCAGTGGGGACAGAAGGACCTGTCACACAGCATCAACTGGCTAGAGCTCCGGGCCATACACCTGGCCCTCCGCCATTTCTCACACCTAGTAACGAGGAGGCACGTCCTCATACTAACAGACAACGTAGCAGCCAAGGCACATGTAAACAAGGAGGGAGGAACGAGATCAGCGGAACTAATGAAGGAAGCATTGGCTCTGGCTCGGTGGGCAGAAGCCAATGTGAGTTCCATCAGAGCGGAACACATCTCAGGGGAGACAAACACCCAGGCAGACTCCCTGAGCAGAGCCAAGGTGGACCAGTCGGAATGGCGTCTGGACCCAGCTCTCTTCGAGGAGATCTTCCGGAGGTTCGGACAACCGCACCTAGATCTATTTGCCAACCACAAGAACACACAACTCCCCAGGTTCTTCTCCAGATTCCCGTCCCCGGGATCGGAGGGAACGGATGCTCTCAGGTGCCGGTGGCCGGCGCAACTCCTGTACGCCTTCCCACCGCTGCCACTAATACCGGCAACCATACGCAAGATGATCGTGGAGGGCGCAGAAATGGTCTGCATTGCCCCTCACTGGCCACGGCGCCCGTGGTTTGCCGACCTCGTGGACCTTTCGATATCACCTCCGTGGAGGATTCCCCCGGACAGGGTAAAACTCAGTCAGGGCAAGCTCGTACACCCAGACCCCCAGTGGCTACAACTAGCCGCTTGGCATTTGAGCGGCAAAGCTTAACAAAACAATCTTATTCTGCAGGGGTGATATCAATCATACAGGCATCACGAAGAGCGTCCACTAATAGGATTTACGACGCTACATGGAAGGGATTTTGTAGGTGGTGCGCTTCGCTTCACCTAGACCCGACCGCAGTATCTATCCCCAATATCCTAGATTACCTATTGGAGGGTCTTAATAAGGGCCTGTCAGTCAATACTATCCGCAGACAGATATCGGCCCTCTCAACTGTACTCTCCTGCGACAACTTAACTTCCCTAGCACAACATCCAGCGATTAATGCCTTTTTAAAAGGGGCATCTAACACAAAGCCCCCAGTCATACACAGGTACCCGTCCTGGAACCTGCCTAAGGTCCTTCTAGCCTTGACATCAGCACCCTTCGAACCTCTTGAAACATGCTCACTCCATCACCTATCACTGAAGGTAGCTTTCCTTGTGGCAATTACTTCAGCAAGGAGAATCTCAGAACTAGCAGCACTGTCAGTAAGGAAGGATCTGTGTACCTTTTTCAAAGACAGGGTCGTTCTTAGACCAGACCCAACCTTCATCCCGAAGGTAAATAGCATCTTTCACAGATCTCAGGAACTTACGCTTCCTGATTTCTGTCCAAGACCCAAACATAGGCTAGAACACAGATGGCACAAGCTAGACGTACGGAGAGCACTGTGTTTCTACGTGAAACGCACTTCGGCTTTCCGAAAGACTGAAGCATTATTTGTGTCTTTTCAACCATCAACTATGGGAAAGAAGGTATCTTCTTCCACCATAGGCAGGTGGATCAGAGCCTGCATAGCGCAGACCTACGTTTCACAGGATTTGCCAGCACCCACTCAGGTGACTGCCCACTCAACTCGGAGCGCAGCCACATCTGCGGCGTGGCTAACGCAAGCTCCAGTGGAAGAGATTTGCAAGGCCGCAACCTGGTCCTCACCTTCGGTTTTCATCCGACATTACCGTTTAGACTCCCTAGCAGCAGCAGACGCGGCCTTTGGCAGAAGAGTTCTTCAACAGGTCGTATCTGCTCAGAGTTCAGTAGCCTAGACTTTCCCTCCCAGGGGGACATGAGGGCTTTGGTATGTCCCATCCATTTGGACTCTACAGTCATCCTGCTGGAGAAGGGGCGTTGTCTTACCTGAACGCCTTTTCTCAGCAGGATGATGTAGAGTCCAAGCCCACCCAGAGGATAGGTCTAGGCAGGGATATAATAAAGATATAATAAAGAGCTGCAATGTTAATTCCAACAAAGTTTCTCGCCTAAGTCAAAACTGGGGTCACGCCCAAAGGAAGGGGTGTGGCCGAAGTTTTACCCAGTCTGCCAGGCAGGAAGGCCGTCATAGAACCCATCCATTTGGACTCTACATCATCCTGCTGAGAAAAGGCGTTCAGGTAAGACAACGCCCCTTCTAACCACTGCAGCCATCACATATGAGAGATAAAATACTGTTGTCAAAGGCAACATTAAAAAAAGTTTTGAGTTATAACAGGAAGAGACAAAGGAATAATACTACATTAAAATTGAAATGGACCACTTACATATCAAGAAAATACACATAGTTCAGCCAAAAATCTAACATATGTATTTGCCTGCCTTTGAAAAGTTTCCTTTAATTTTTTTAATCTTACCAAACAATGATGATCATCATAATTTTGAAAAAACGATTTTTAATCTCTGTCCCCAGCCGTCTTTCATTCTCTGTGTAGATTCCTTGCCTTCCCTTCAATAAAGATGCAACTGAGAAGCAGAAAGCAGAAATGAAGTATGTTCATTCAATAAAGAAGTTGATCCTGCCTAGCCAGAGCAAGCCTGCCATGTTTTGAATGCAGAAGGCAATATACTATGGATCTGCCCCCCACTTTCCTAGTAAGTAGAATTGTTAATCTTCATTTTTTCCTGTTAAAAATCTAACTGCCATTTGGAATCTTACCAGCAACAACAGTTCTACTGAAAAGAATTGGGTTGACCATCAAAACAAGCACCAGTGGAACATACGTGGTGACATAATGAGGAATTGCATGCTCCAATCCATTTTCACAACTGTAAAATAGGGAGAGCGGATGATTATAATTCCGATTTATTTGTTCCCAAGTTGGAAAAAGCTTCCTGCTTAATCAAGGAAGATTTCTTATGATTTGCTTACAATGCGACTATAGGAATATATTGAATAGGTGTCTTCAGTGTGGCAGCACACTGAATAGAAGGCTGTATTTGTGTGAACAAATATATACTGTTTAACTGACAGTGATAGTACAGTAACTGACTGTTTTTCAAACAAAGAATGATTATACTGCGAAATCGTATGAAGCTGGAAGCTTTCAGGAGGCCACTTAATTGATTCAATTTGTGGAAAAATAGGAAAAGGGATTGAAAAACGGCCTAATGCAAGAAATTAATGTTAACCTGATTGACCCCCAAAAGGCTAAGTATGAACATATTCTAATGTTCAATGTGGAAAAGAACAACTGATTCCATAACTTGCATTTGGAGAAGTAAAGATGTTTAAGTCATTCAGATAAAATATCTTTAAATGTGATCGGGGCAGAGAGCTAGTAAAATATAAAAGCAGAAGTTGGAGGTTGAAATAATTTTGCATGCATTGTACTAAAGAAGTGAGCAAGACAACACCCCAAACTTGTGAGATCACTCGTTCTCTCTTATACCCTTTCCTCTATTTCACCTCCTCTTTTCTCTCATGTCCTCCTTGCTCATTACACAGCAATTAGACATAGAGTCAGTTGTAATTCCAGAGTGATATGTTTCTTAATGATTTAATTGGTTATACAAATACAGCAGGTTGTTGGTAACGTGGCTCATTTGAGAATCTGAAAACACTGGGAACAAAAAAAATCAGCAAACAAAAAGGATGTTACTTCTTCCATATACAAATTTCACTTCTCACTGCTTTAACAACTCCCCATCTCCCACAGGCCTCCTAATACTAGAGTTCCTTTGTGAAATTAAAATTCTCTGGAAAAATGGATGTTTGCAGTTAAATAACAAAAGCTAGTAGTGGGAGGAACGTCCAAACATTTGCATGCATTTAAAAATGACTAAAAATGGCTCCTGTCAATATCCACATTAGCACTGTATTGTGACAAAAGCTTGCTCTGCAGGTCTTCTTTATAACATTCATTAGACCCTAAGACTTATTCAAGTAAATATTGTCAGGTCTTTTAATTACTTTTGACATGTATATACTTATTTTTCTCCACCGTGCAAATTCCCATGCTGTCTATGGACACTTACAAATTCCTGACTCTGGAAAAGTATCTCCTCAAAACTGAACAACATAATAAGGTTGGATTCCATTGTATACCTGGGCAGCGAAGCCAGCTTTCAAATGTTAGATTCCTTGCCTTTTAATAAATATGGACCTAACCAATAGCCTTCAGTGTCCTTTAATTTAAACAAATTACTGGAATGATTTAAAATTCAGGCAACATTAGTAATATTAGATGGGAAGGCCTGGAAAAAAACTGCAAAAATTGAAAAAAAAACAGGTATTTTTTTCATTTTTTTCCAAACAGCTTTGGGAAAAAGGGAAAAAAATGGGGGGGGGGAACACTCTGATTTGTCCAATTTTTCCATTTTTTTCCAAGTCTTCCCATCACTTACTTACCTAGAAACTGAAGGATAATAGAGCATAGCAACTCCCTCCATGCACAGCAAAATTGCCAAGCCCCATGTCATCATATGGTACAACACAATCGTGCTAGAATGATATTGTACAGAAAAATAAAATGTGAATATTTTTCTTTGTCAACTTCAAAAATTATATGAATTCCTTTCATATAAATTACAAGGCAAGTTAAACTGATAGTGAAAAAAGAATACAAAGATAAGCTTTTGAAAAGTTTTAGTTTACATCTCTAAAAGCAATACAATATAATAATAGAAAATATCAATATGAAAATACACACTCTACAGCAAACCTAAACAGAATAAAACCTAATTAAACGTTGTTAGCAAATATTAAATAGCAAGGAAATATATTTTTTCCCACTCAGTTGTGCTCAGTTCTCAGACATTACCTGGACAAATCCTTGTATTTTACTTGACAAGTTTTTCAGAAATATTGACTTTGCCTCTTTCCTATGGTTAGAGAAGGTGATTGATCCAAGGTCACCCAGCTGGCTCTGTGCCTAAGATAGGACTTGACTTCATATTTGCCTGGTATCTACCTTGATGCCTTAACCACTACACCAAATTGGCTTTCATATTAATTATTAAGCAAATATTAATCCATATTCATGAAGATAAAGCTATCTAAATGTTCACTTAACCATGAAAATATGTCATCCTGAAGATACCGCATGTTTAAAATATAATGTTCATTTGTGATACCTTACTCCTGCTGATCTTCTAACTACCAAGTACAAATCCACAGCATAGCAAAACAGCCACCAAAAGACAGCACTGTACAAAAGTTGGATCCACATCTGAGAAACAAACAGAAAATCATGTATCATAGGGACTTAGAACAGGATTATTGAAATATTGTTACTTGTAAGTCTGAAATGTTATGTCCAGCTGTGTTCAGTATATTACATAGAACAGAACACCAAAGAAAATTGGGTCAAATAATTTCCACCTACCCATGAGTAGCACGTTCTTCCTAAATTCAGATATATATAATAAGTTTGCTCAGCGCTTCAAATTCAAATAATTTGAAAAATAAACGTTTTAGATCATGTCAGAGCATGTATAAATACAGGTCTTTACCACACCTGCAATTTTCCAGAATTTTACCACTGATCTCACCAATAGCCACGAGTATAGGAAAAAACACAGCTACTTTAAAGAGATGCAGACAGGTGCTTGGATTTTTAGAATCAAATCCAAAATTCTGCACAATCCAAATGTATAATCTATTCTCTTTTCTACTCCAAAAGAACAATAAGATATTAAAAAGCTATTTAAGCATGGCATACTTTGAGAAGTCAAACTAAAGGAAACTAAGAGTGGTTCTCATAATCTTGGTTACTAAGGACTAGTGACTATACTTCACGACAAAATTATTAAATATATTAAACTTGGTTGCACATATTTCTCATGAAAGTTGGATGGAAATAAGAATATGCAGTTTTCAATCAAATTACTGTAAATTCCATGGCATGCACATAATTCACACATTTTGTTTAGATCATTTATCAGTTCTTAATCAGTGTTTACAAGTCTAGCATTTTTGCTCATAGGAACTGCATATTACACTGGTCTGAAACTTTATTTCTATTTGACTTCCATATCAATTCCTTCAATTGTTTATTTTTACTTAAGTTACTTTCGTCTTACATCTTTTTTAGTCCTTATTGCCAAAGATTACTATATAGCTTACCTACAGAAAGTTATAATTTAATCATGTTGCATGCAATACTGAAAGTCAAACTTTTTTTCTCAAAGAAAAAAAATGCAATTCAGCTTTAAGAAACTCAATTGAAAGCAAATGCTGCTCTAAAAACATTAACAGAAAATTAAATGAAGAGCAGAAGTTAAGTACATTCAAAATGATTATTACTAAATAAATGGGCATATGATTTGCTGCTTTAGACCATCACCTGTTTTTTATTTATATAAAAATGTATTTTTGCAAAAGTCACAAAATTATTATTACTAGCATAAAAAATAAAAACTGAGAACTAATATAACAGTGCATTTACCAAATCCTATAACCTATGAGCTCACTATAGATTTGCCTGAAAAGTTTTTTAAAAGCTCATTGTCAGAATCCAATTATATTTCATTTCTAGCTACCTACTTTGAATAAAACCCATTTCTTACTCTCTCTGGATTCTGTCATACTACGAAAGGGGAGGAGGATAAGCAAGGGGGTTTTATGACTCTAACTTCCTTCATTAAACTACAAAGTGACTGGATGTTGATTCTCATCAAGAGGACTGATCATAACAATATGGCCATCGCCTTTCATCTGTTCTCTCTCTCTGAAGTCTCCCTTTTGCCGGCAGTGAGGGAAAAGGGGGGGGCAATGCAACGCCTGGGATCTGGGAAAAGAGAGGATGGGTGATTGTCACCCGGAAGAACTGTGGGGTGGGGGCTGCTTGGGAACACTTAAAACATTGAAGGATGGGAGCAAAATCCCCAGATCCTGTCTAGCATGCCTGCAATCATTTTCTCTTAATAAAGATGCCTGTTGGAAGAGATATTCCAAGAGTTCTGTCTTCTTCAGATGTAAAGTAAGGTGGGTCCTTACACTCATATTAAGAAACGCTGTAGAACTTCAACTCAGAATATTTAAGAGCTGTATCGGGAGAAATTGTATGACTTCAGGAAATAAAGTAGTTACTGATCAGTCCTGAATGTGGCTGGAGAAGAGTTTTGTATCAAACCAGTCTAATATTATTTTCATATTTATTATAAAAGATACATATCGATTAGTTTGAGACAGTCCAGACAACCACAACCACGAGTATTAATTTTGTCATTATTGTAAGGATACATTTACAGAGTCTTGCAAGTCTGAAAGTACCTCTCACATCCCTCACTTTTAGTCTTCCGAGGATACTTTCTCCACCCCATTTATCATCCTGTTGTCTAGGGCTAGCCTGTGGCTCTTCTTCCTCTTTCCCAAGATGATTTCCAGATATGAAGTCTAAAAATAATGATTATTCCCTGTTCTTCTGGCTATTTGAATTAGCAATACACAGATCATTCTGCAACCTTTTTCATGATATGTTGGAGCCTATGACACCCATCAACCCCAGATACTGTAGCAATGTTTATGGGACTCCAGAATAAGTTTTTGGATATTAATTAGGAGAAGATTTCAGTAGCATTTTTTATCTGTTTATAGTTATGACATATGTGGATTTGGCTCTTGCATGCCTTTGCACATAAACCAATACTAAAAAAAGTGAACAGTTCATGAAATGTCACATACTTATTCCATTCCATTATAAAGCTCACACATTGAATCACTTTACCAATATAAAATAGGAAATAAAAGCATGAGAAACACGTCTTCTGGAATGCTTTATAATCTTTTTATCAACAACGGTCATAAGTCGGGATGCATGTTTGTGCACTAGGAAGCATAAGCAGAGCAGGCCATATAAAGCTCTGTTTGGGATCACATGACCAACACCTGAGGAAGGCTTCGAATGGAGCAATTACCAACATTCCAAGTCACTGCCGATGCCCTGGAGGAATGTAACTTGCAACATTATTGTGGGTAATTTCCAGTTTAGTTTGCATACAGCACCCCAGTTATTTTTTTCTCTACAACCAAAGGGTGGATCAGGTCCATTTTTAAGCTTGGTATTTCATTAATCTACTTATTGTGCCCCCACATCAAATGTAATCCTTTCTTTCCCTGTACAAATAGGCAGACAGAATCCCTGTATCTTTGAATTATTTTTTTTTTGCAATATTCCTCTGGGTTAGAAAGAATGAGAACATTCCCCAAGTATTTTATCCTGATCTTTTCAAAGGAGAAAGATATCAATACAATCTAGCAGCAATTTCATTCATTTCATTTATACCTACCGCACTTCCTACACAGAATGTAGCAGGCCATATATCAGTTTGATTTACTAAAGATATATTTGCCACAAAGTCTGGGAACCCTAACCAGACAATAGACCGGAAGATTATACCTATAAGGAAGAGAATAAATCCATATTAATGCTACAACTCTGACCACCTTAATATTCATGTTGTTTTATACTTTCCAAAAGTATTAAAAAGAAAATAAGACTTCATTCAGTTTTCTATGATGAATTGTTTTTCCCTTTTATAACATGAAGCTATTCTATTCTGAATTATGTTGAATCTCCCAAGCATAATTACCCATTTTTAGAACTAGTGTTATATTCCATTTATGTTGCTAGTCATTCTAAAACCCTTTTATGTTTGGTTCCTGTTTTCAAAAACCCTTGAAAGAGGAAAACATTTTCTAAAATATATGTTCAAAATATTTTTGTTTTTTTTATTTCAGTGATTTCTCTCTGTCCCCTTTTCTCCTAAAACACAAACAGCAGCAGCTATCAAGGAAAAAGGTAGATGATAGATAAGGATTTGGTTCTGCTGTTCTGCTTTCCAAGGCTTATTTCCATATAACTCAGGGTGTGGCCTTAAGGACTGGAAAAAGTTATTTTTATCTATTTTTTCTCCCCCCTTGTCTTATGTGAGATTAGACAGGATTGAGGACACCCATCTCTTTTGATTTTGTTTTTTTCTTTCATTAAAAGTCTATTTTTATTACAATGGGAGTGTATTTTTCTTCTCAAGTGATATTTTGATAAAGGTTTTGATCTGACAGTTAAAGGGTGGGTGATCCCTCTGGCAACTTTGTTTCTGTGTATGTATTGGGAGAGAAAATGTAGAAACTGGTATGAATCAGGATTAGAAATACTATAGTTTTACTCCCTCACACGCATACACTTCCGCCTTCCATCTTCTGGTCCACAGCTGCCTGCCTGGCTAATAAGGAAAGGATCAGCAACATAAGAATCTCGTCAGTTCTCTGGCCAATCCTAGCCATTTCTGGAAAGAAAGATGAAATAATCTGCATTTTCAGTGACCTTTGTCACAGTAAGACTGCATACTACTGCAAGAACCACTGACTGGATTAATGGGAATTGTCTTCTATGGCTGTGTTGTGGGAGAAGGATTGAGAAAAATCATATGCTTGCCAGCAGACCCAGCTTTCAAATTATCACTATGGTCATGTGAATGCCTAGATCTGAAAGGATAGATTTCATTCATGAACTGAGACATGTAAGGGATTAAAAACTGAATAGTTTTAGTCAAATTCTTCAGAGGAAATGTGGCAGTGAAAATAAATAGGTCAATGAGAGCTCTCTTTCCCTTCCTCCCTCCCATTCTGCTTTCATGAATACCTTTCATAAGACAAGGGGAAAAAAAAGAGAGGGTTTTTAAAGGGAATTTTTAGCAAACTATTACAAATACTGGAAAAGCAAAATCTATATCTAAATAAACTTGTTTGAATTTCCTTCACATTCCGTCTGAGTCAGTTAACACATTAATCAGTTTTTCATTGGAGAGTATGATTAAACTGTGAAATAACTAATATTCACTACTATTTCATCTACCTAACAGTAATTTATCTTTTAAAAAATTACTTTGTTGTAGTGCATACAAAGTCCAACTGCATGTGGATTAAGAAGCAATTCCCATCATATCCAAAGATATTTCTATGTATATTCAGAACAAGTTTAAGCACAATTCTGGTCATTGCAGGCTTTTCTATTTGGCTTCAGATTTATCAAATTATGAGTCTTGAGTATTGTGGAAAGGGGATTAAGAATGCTTACATACTAGTAGACTAACCAATTAGGCAACAGAGCAGCTGGCTTTTTATATAATACTAAAATGAAGTGACAGCAACAGCAAATGCAATACAAATCACAAATACAAATCACATACCATACCTCACTTTGAAATAACATATGGTTTATTGCATATCAGAAAGTCCAGGAATAAATTTCAACATACTGTACCAAACAGTGTTGCTGTTATTTGTCTATTGTTTTTCTTTATCTGTCAGAGGAGCTCATTTACTGGTACTGTTGTCCTAGGATAATACATATTAAGAATAACAGAGTTGGCAGGAACCTTGTAGGTCTTCTAGACTAACCCCCTGCTTTAATATTTCCTATTAAAATTTCATATTCCAAGTATTGTGTGGTGTATTTAGTTCCACTAAACCAACCGCTAATAGAACAAGAATTAATGAATAGAAAAAGAGATTCAGTCTTAAACATCTGAAATTTCACACTTCCTGACTTAGGAGTAAGTCCACTTAAAATCACCTACAAACTAGGCTGCAATGCTAGTGAAGCTCCATTGGATTCCAAACCATTGATGTGCATTGTCAAACTACTTATTACTTATTTATTCGTTTCTCTATCACCGTCTACCTTAAGTCTTGTATTAAAATATCCTTAGGCGGCTGGAAGAGAGTACTCTTTCTCCCAGCCCCTCCGTCTCTCTTCCTCTCTCTCTGCTCTTTGGTGGGATTGATTTAGTTATCAAATGTATATAGTCGCCCATCTCACCAGAAGTGACCTTCTTACCCAGAGAGCCCAGCATGTCACAGGCGGAGATGAGGAGGAGGATGGTGGTGGAAGAGGAAGCCTTGGAAATTCCTCGGGAGCCCCGATCCTTCTTCGGGAGGAGTTGCAGGGCGCTCAAGAGAATCCCAGCAGAGGCGCTGCCAAGGCAAACCCCGCAAAAGACCTCTGACTTGAAAGACACCACAAGCTGCGTGGAGACGTCCCGGTTGGGGCAACAGAAGGTTTCCAGCCTCGGAGAGGCCATAGCAAATTTGGGGGAGAATAGAGGGTCGGAGTGGGACGAAGGGCCAAACGCTATCGCTCGCTCGTAGGAAGCTCTTGCAGGCTTTCCGTCTTGTTCCTCCTGCAACTTAGAGTTGGGGAGTCACGCGATGGCCAGATCATGTGGCGAAGTGGCGATTAAAGCCCCTGGAGCTGCCATTTCCGCCTCCGTTTCGTAAATTGGACACGGAAGATTACCGTTTCTCATCAATGATTCCTGGTGTTTCCTTAGTGTAACTCGCTGTGGCATCGATATTCCTCCCTCCATGTGTTTCTTTTACAGTTGGGAGAACTCTTTCCTGAAATCCTGACTACCTTAAAAGTTGGCTGGTAGTTGTACTCCAGTACTCCTGAAAAACTTCAAAAGCTTGAGATTTGGGATCACGTGATCTGACCTAGGCCCACTAGTTACTGCTTCAGCATTCTTCCATCAATAGTAGCGAATATCTGTAGCTCAGGTGTAGGATGAGGGTGAAGTTCATTCTCTCAGAATTCAAATCAACCGCACAACCAACCAGAGACAGTACCAACCCTCAACCAACCCATACAACCCCCACGCACAAGCAGTTCACATCCCAGTGACCCTGACGTGATGTAACCAACCCATCACAAGACCCTCACTTGAGGCACCCATGCCTGAAGCCCTTGTAAACAGAACACTGACATTCCCTAAACTCCGCTGAAGATGTTACCTAACCTGATAATGAAACATTCAGAAACCAACCCACAAACTCAGAGAACGAACCCTCACCCTCATTCCTCCATCAACTGCATCTTGAATTTCCACTTTGCACTATCATACTGCATCTGAGCTCAGAAATCCATATGAAAGCTAGATAATGACAACATAGAATTTCTGTGTCACTGCAGCTGTCTAGCAATGTCTACTGGGCTTTTGCAGCCTAGGCTCAGTAACCTGTCACTAGATCAGTATTTTTCAAACTTGGCAAATTTAAGGTCTGTGGCTTCAACTCCCAGAATTCCCTAGTTTGTGTGCTGGAAAGGGAATTCTGGGAGTTGGTCCACTTATTTTAAAGTTGTCAAGCTTGAAAAACATAGCACTAGATTCAAGTTAGTAGACTGGAAAGTTGTCTCCTTTTAAGAAGTTTGTCTTCTTGAAAAAATAGAACTAAAGGCCAGAATTTACCCCAGCATTTGGGTATTTCTTTTTAATTAACTGCTCAGTCTGTTCTTTGTAATTTCATCTTAAGAGTATGTTCAATGATAAGTACTGAAGTCTATTTTAGTTGATAAGACTTATTTTTACATATCATTATCAGCCCAAATCAGTCCATTACAGGATTAAGTCCTCTTCAACTGACTGCAAATAGTTTCCAGTTAACACCTTCAAATTGAGTCACATTATTTTTCAAGCATTTATTTGGGTGTTTTCTGAGTCTTTCAAGGTCGTGTATCCAATCAAGAATTGTTCTTGTCCGACACTGATCTATTGTTGTATAATGAAGTCAATCCATTGTCATTTCTGTGAGGTTACTCAATTACAATGTATATCCTTGACTATTGGTAGAGTCATTTTTTTTCTTATCACATCTTATGTTAAGCATTTTTCTACTTCTGTACTGCTTTTGCTTTGAATATGCAAGTTGTGAAACCTTGTGTTAACACACATATTATACATTAATTAAAGTATAACATTACTGAAGTAGGTTGCGATGTTCTGAAATGCTCTTCAAACTATGGTAGTTTAATCTATGACATTACTGTCCACGATTATATTTTTACTGTCAACATTCTTTTCTATTTTTTATTGGCAAAGGTTTTGAATAATTTTGTCTTCAAGATAATTTTCAAGCCATGTATTTGGTCACACTTTCATCTTAAATAATGGTTCACAAATTCTATTTTACTGCTTTCACTGAGTGGGATTGTATTTCTTGTGTGTGTGTGTGTGTGTGTGTGTGTGTGTGTGTGTGTATAGCCACATACATAAATAAATTCTTCATTTCTAAGTAAGCATGTAACTAATTGTAGTCAAAGGCCTTTCTGGTGGGCCACTGCAGCCAAGAACCAAGCTATGGGTTGAGTCCATAGCTTGGTTCTCGGCTGCAGTGACCTTCCAGAAAAGCCTCTGACTGCAAAGTGCAGCCTGGGGACGCTGCAGAAGAAGTGGGCCAGTAAGGAGAGGCCTGGCTGCAAGATAAGTGGATGCGGGGTGCGTGCAGCAGCTCCACACCCCCACACCTGCCCTAGCTTGATTTTTAGATGTGTGCCTTGCCCCCAAACTGAGGCTTATTTTGGGGGTAGGGCTTACATTAGGCCCACCCCCAAAAATCAAGCTAGGGCTTATTTTGGGGGTAGTTCTTACTTTCAGGGAAACACGGTAGCAGCAACAGCTTTGAGATTAGATTGTTCAGAGGTTTTCTAAAGAACAAAGGTTAATATAAAGAGAAGAATGATTTCTCTAATTGTTTTCCATTGGATTCAGTGACATTTCAAAAACAAGGAAATTAAAGATATTATGAAAAAATGTTTGACTTTTTCATTTCATTCCTGCTTCTATTTTGAAGGACTCATTTATAGCTCTATCTGCTCTGGAAAGTTTTGATACCTCGAAGAATAAAAATAGATGCATGAATTACTATATGCTTCCTTTAACTATGGATTTGTTGGGGTTTTATGGTTCAAATGAATTGGACACTAATTTTAGACTTTCTGTTAACTAAGAGTTAGGGTTTGTCATGCATAATTGACATGAGCTTAAGAGGACCATCTTTCATAGTGCAACATCTATTGGCATCTAGCATTCATAGCAACAGCAAACAACATCAATGACACAATGTGTTTCATAATATAAATCCCTGCTTTTCATATTTGCTCGTTCCCCTGCCCCACAACCACATCAATGAAATTCACTCCGCCATTTTGTTAATGCAGGATATAATCACAATTGCTACTTCTGAGGGATCTCTCTTTTAACTCCCATGTACACAAACTCACCACAGAATTGTACCCTGTGAATTGCCATCTTTAAGAGCCCAGAGATTCTGGTCTTTTATTCTAGGTATCACAACAATTACAGAAGAGCAATCCTTCTCCTCCAGTCAGGTCCAATCACATACTAATAGTAGTATTCAACAATATGTGTGGCTGCAGCAACCCCACCAGAGATTGGTTCTTTGCTGAGACTGAGCGTCCATTCCAACTATTCTTAGCACTCACTGTATGGAGTAGCAGTGGAAACAGAAGGCAATGGGATTCCTTGATTTGTATGGAAGCAGCAATTGCAAAGAAGTCCTGGTATTATGGTATTGACAGAACTGGAAGAATGAGTTATCAGACATCACAAATGCATTTATGATCTAGTATGGTACATCTTGCCTCAGCAATGCTGAACAATGTTACTGTGACTTATGCATGACAAAGTCCAAGCCAACAGATGTGATAAGGGAGTGGCTGGTGTCTAGTGATGACCATGAACCAGACCTTGTTCATATGCATGGCATTAAGTGGCTGCAGGGAAGTGGGGATCGGTATCTTCATGCAATGTTGACATGTGTATCCCACATACATGGTAGCCCTGCATTTTCTACTTGGAATCTTGGCACACCTTTTTCATGGATTCCAGATCCTAAAGCACAACACACAATGTGCATTCCTGAATGGCAATAGTTTGCAGTGCATCACCAGGAAAGACCCCACACAGAGCAGGGCAGAGATGCTATGTAAATTTGCCCTCATTTGTAAAATAGTAAGTTTCTACCTATTGAGCATTAGTTGAACAAAGGGAGAGGTAATGTAACATTTTAGTGCCTTCAAGTCAGTCTTGACTCCTGGTGTTGGAAATGTAATTAAAACACCAACAAAATTGGATTGGTAAGAAAAGAGTTTATTCTGCAGAAAATAGAAAAAAAAGCAGTTTGCAAAGTGTGGTGGATCTCTGAGAGAAGCTTCAACAGGAAGTTCTAAACTAGAGACCACACTCAAACATTCATACTCATAACATTATATACATTTCTATCACAACGCCCCTGTCCCCTCCCCTTCGGTCCCATTTGAAAGGACTTTAGAGGCCACAATCTTGTCTGAGATGCCTAGCCAGAATACATCATCCCTCCCCCTGGTTACATTGTTTCGAACTTCCCCCTGCCACCCTTTTGTCTTGTTAAGTGTATCTTATAGCCAAGCCTCCTGGAATCTAGTGTCTACATGCAGGGCTTGGTTAATCCTTTTATTATTAATCAGTTGTAACCGTTTTATTTTTAAACTTCTTTGTTTCGCACAAATCCACCCTTTCTATTATTTTTATACTAATTTAAAAATAAAACTTTTTCTCAAATGGTTTTAAACTTTCCTGGATCTCCTCGGGATTCTCGAAGTCAAGTATTGCAGTATGTTCAGTTACCGTATATGCCGGCGTATAAGGCGACCCGGCGTATAAGACGACCCCCGTCTTTGGCGCCGAGTCGCATGCCTAGAACGTTGTCTTATACGCCGGAAACTACCAGTATTTCCGGCGTATAAGACGACTCAGCATATAAGACAACCCCCGACTTCGGCGCCAATTTTAACACTTGCGGAAGTCACCTTATACGCCGGCATATACGGTACCTTGTTTAACATCAGCATTTGCTCGTCATTCTTATTGGTTGCATTTACCATTCCCTCCACTGTATTTTGTACAATACTTCTTATTACAGGGATCAAGCAGGGTAAGCACATTAACCTGAAAAATACTACTGCTAACGTGAATAAAGCTTGTTTCCAATTTCTAAAAATTTCTCCCAGGGATCCCCCATTATCAAGTATTCCAGTCCAGGTTTGGACTGGTACATGGGCTATTTTCCTCATCCTGTTTGTTATCTCCTCAATGGCCTTCTCTTCATCATCTATTTGCAGACAACAGTTGGTTAAGTTAAATTTTCTACAGACCCCTTCTTCTTCTGCCAATAAATAATCCAATGCTAACCTATTTTGATAAATTGCAGTCCTCATTTGGGTATTCTGTTTAGCCAACTTATTTAATGCTAGCGCTGTCTCATTAGTAATAATCTCCAGAACTGCTTGTAACCTAATAATGCAATTCAGCATATAAATTGGAGTCCTATATCCCCTTGATCCATCCTCAGCCCAAGTAGCAGGTCCATACACCTGTATTATACGTTCAGGTGGCTATTCATTATCCTTCCAATTTCCAATTTCCAATGATCGGTTTCTCCTAGCTCCCATATACTGCTACTCCAAGTTTTTCCCTTTGAGGAATAGGAAGTAGGAAAAAACTAGGTTTTATATTTCCCAATACACATGAACCACACCAATTCCTAGGTAGTCTGGTATCTTCAAATTTTCCACATATCCAATAAAACCCTTGCAGGGTGAACCATTCTTGGGATGCATTGTCCCAAAGCCCCTGTAAAACCGTGTTATTAAAAGAATGTTTTTCAATACTATGCATGGTTCCCCAATTCTGAATACTTGAATCTCTGTAAGATCTCTGGCCCTCGCATATCATAGTTCTTACTTCCTCCTGGTTTTCGAAGCAGTTTCTCTGAAAGCAGGAGTGACCTATAATGGATGTAGTTAAAGCCCATTTTTGACTTTTCTTTATTAATTTAGTAGTCCAAGTAGATGTAATGTAAGGACCCACCCCACTTTGCATCTTAAGAAGACAGAACTCTTGGAATAGTTCTTCCAACAGGAATCCTTTATTAAG